GTACAGTTGTCATTATACATCATACTCTATATCATTGTCATTATACACCATACTGTATAACATTGTCATTTTACACCATACTGTACAGTAGTCTTTATACATTACAACATACTGTACAACATTGTCATTTTACACCACACTGTACAGTTGTCATTATATGACATACTGTACAGTTGTCACTATACACCATACTGTACAGTTGTCATTATACACCACAATAATTACAGTAGACACTATACACCACACTTTACAGTTGTCATTATACGACATAAAATACAGCACTGTCATTATGAACCATATGGTACAACAGTTTTGTTTGTTTGTTGTTTGAAGCCGCACTCAGCAACATTCCAGCTATATGACAGCGGTCTGTAAATAATCAATTCTGGACCACACAATCCAGTGATTAACATCATAAGCATCGATCAACGCCATTGGGATACAATGACATTCATCAACCAAGTCAGCGAGTCTGACCACCCGATCCCATTAATCACCTCTTACGACAAGCATAGTCGCCTTTCACAGGAAGCATGGGTTGCTGAAGACCTATTCTACCCCAGATCTTCAAGTGGCTACACAACAGTCATTATACACAATACTGTACAGTGGTCATTATATATCATACTCTTTAACATTGTCATTATACACAATACTGTACAGTACTCATTATACACCACACTGTACAGTATTCATCATGAACTATACTATACAGTAGTCATACACCATACTGTACAGTAGTCATTATACACCACACTGTACAGTATTCATCATGAACTATACTATACAGTAGTCATACACAATACTGTACAGTACTCATTATACACCACACTGTACAGTATTCATCATGAACTATACTATACAGTAGTCATACACCATACTGTACAGTAGTCATTATACACCATACTGTACAGTAGTCATGAACTATATTGTACAGTAGTCATTATACACCATACTGTACAGTAGTCATTATACACCATACTGTACAGTAGTCATCATACACCATTCTGTACAGTAGTCATTATGAACTATACTGTACAGTAGTCATTATACACTATACTGTACAGTAGTCATTATTTACTATACTGTACAGTAGTCATCATACACCATACTGTACAGCAGTCATTATGAACTATACTGTACAGCAGTCATTATACACCATACTGTACAGTAGTCATCATACACCATACTGTACGGTAGTCATTAGAATTATACTGTTCAGTAGTCATTAAACACCATACTGTACAGTAGTCATTATGAACTATACTGTACAGTAATCATAATACACCATACTGTACAGCAGTCATTATGAACTATGCTGTACAGCAGTCATTATACACCATACTGTACAGTAGACATTATACACCATACTGTACAGTAGTCATCATACACCATACTGTACGGTAGTCATTAGAACGATACTGTACAGTAGTCATTAAACACCATACTGTACAGTGGTCATCATACACCATACTGTACAGTAGTCATTATGAACTATACTGTACAGCAGTCATCATACACCATACTGTACAGTAGACATTATACACCATACTGTACAGTAGACATTATACACCATACTGTACAGCAGTCATTATACACCATACTGTACAGTAGTCATTATGAACTATACTGTACAGTAGACATTATACACCATACTGTACAGTGGTCATCATACACCATACTGTACGGTAGTCATTAGAACTATACTGTACAGTAGTCATTAAACACCATACTGTACAGTAGTCATTATGAACTATACTGTACAGCAGTCATCATACACCATACTCTACAGCAGTCATTATGAACTATACTGTACAGTAGTCATTATACACTATACTGTACAGTAGTCATTATGAACTATACTGTACAGTAGTCATTAAACACCAGACTGTACAGTAGTCATTATGAACTATACTGTACAGCAGTCATCATACACCATACTCTACAGCAGTCATTATGAACTATACTGTACAGTAGTCATCATACACTATACTGTACAGTAGTCATTAGAACTATACTGTACAGTAGTCATTAAACACCATACTGTACAGTAGTCATTATGAACTATACTCTACAGCAGTCATTATGAACTATACTGTACAGTAGTCATCATACACTATACTGTACAGTAGTCATTAGAACTATACTGTACAGCAGTCATTATACACCATACTGTACAGTAGACATTATACACCATACTGTACAGTAGTCATCATACACCATACTGTACGGTAGTCATTATGAACTATATTGTACAGCAGTCATCATACACCATACTCTACAGCAGTCATTATGAACTATACTGTACAGCAGTCATCATACACCATACTCTACAGCAGTCATTATGAACTATACTGTACAGTAGTCATTATACACTATACTGTACAGTAGTCATTATGAACTATACTGTACAGGGGTCCCAAACAACAATGGAGGGGTCCAGTTTATAGCATCATAATATTACATAAACAGCTGAACACAGTGGTTGTGAAAAAATCTGAAATCTTTTCGCAACAGCAAAATATTAACAAACAGGAAATGTGAGAGAAAGGTTCACATCAGGGCACATCCTGCTCTCATGACCAAGAGTTTTACATTAAGGGACAAACAATTTCTTAAAATGGAAATTTGATATTAATGAATATCTTAACACAAAATTATCCATGTTAATGTCTAACTTAGTAAATGATCTACCAATGATTTGAAGTTTATGGATTCAGTCAAGTTCAATGTCTGTTCTGATGCTACTGTACTGAGTAGTGAGTTCATGTGGTAACTGTGACAATTACATCAATGTGTCATGACATAACTGGCATATCAAACGTTGTTTGGTAAGAGTGTGTTCAGGATCCAACATGTTTCAGGTGCTTTAAATGTTTAAACATGTCAGTTACACTGATAACTGTTCTGGCAAAATGTGTTTTGCAATTCTTAATGTAACTAATATAGAATGAGTTACAAACAGCTGTTGTAAAATAGCTTAATATTCAGAGTCCGCTAGATAAAAACAACGCTTACATTCAAGTGTTCGCATTTATTCTTTATCACATACAGTATCGCGGTATCGGTAAATCTTGTAATCCGTACTGCGGTAAGATTCACTTATGACAGGTATTTTGTTTACCAAACTCGGTAAAGAAAATCAGCATCGGTCTTTCCTAATTTATGTGTCGTAAAAGTTGAACAAAGAACAACAAACATTTTGCATATGCCATATTTAATAAATTTGTAAGCGTGCGCCATTACAATCCGCCATAAGTTACTAATTTCTGGTTACTCGTTGCCTTTGAATCCTAGTGAAATACTGCAATACCAATTATAATAGTCTCAAGATTTAAGAGCTACTGTTCACAACTGGTACTAGTGGTAGTAGCTGCGCACTGATCCGTTACAGTTGTAGCTGTTGTGTGTTCATAGGGTGTGGTCCCTCTTCCCCCCCCCCCCTCCCCCCTCTTCCCCCCTGTATGCAGGGGGCTACAGTCATCAACTTTGAGTGTGTCGGGGATTTCAGCCTATTTTCTTGTAAAACATCTTTGCTACTACATGTTATACACCATTTGAAAGGTCTAATCCTACTGTTTATACATATGAAAGTTATGTTTATCACATTATTTAAATAATGCATTTAAAACTAAATTAAGTGTGTTGTAAATAACAAAATCTAAGTTAACACATTTATAACGTCCAGATTGAGGACCAAGGAAACAAAAATTTGACGATTTTCTGCAAATATAAGATTTCATAAAATCCACTTTCCTGGATCTATTTGGGTTTTTTTTCTTTTTATTGTTTAAATGTAATTGGAAAATTATTTTTAAATGAATTAATATCTGTCATCATTTTCCTGATAACAGAAGATGTCCGCTCGGTAGCATGAAGCAACATCTCCGTTTTCGAAGCTTCGTATGAATAACACGTGCCATGTGACACACCATTATCTACAAGGATTATTTTGTCATTTACACGATAGTAAACTTGCCTTGAGTCTTACATTACTGTAACTTGAGATTTTATTGGTTTCTAATAATGCTTTCTTGCCGAAATCTGCTACAAGATTCGTGATTAGTCAAATTTGAGCATGTGACTTAAAGCAGCCAATCAAATTACAGCAATGGTACTGTCCTCATGTAAGATGAATTTCAGGTTTTGACCAAAGTTTTTGTTAATTCGTGTTATTCTGAACGTCTTAAGCAGGAAATCGCTATCTATATAAAAAAATATGTAACTTCGTGGATGTATCATGCCAGATTACGAGCTGTGACAAAGATTTTTCATGCATATATTTTGGCATTAAACATTGTGTCCGTGCAGAGAAGTCGAGGCGTTGAAAGCCGAGATGTCATTTGACTCACATTACACGTGATCGCACGAAAACATGGAAATAATAACATAGATGTAAGTTTGACAACTTTAAGAAGTATTTTTGTTTTTATTTATTACTTTGTATAATATATTTAAAGATTTGATTGACATGTTTTTATTTCGCTCTTTGACTTTTTCGATGTGGACCCCTTGTTGAAGTGTGAGTCCGAGAATTATATTTTCAATAACATTGCGGGAAATAGATCTAGTGAATGATCTTTTAATCTATTGATAAAAAATAATAAATTGAAATAAAATACGTATTTCAGCTTGGTCGGTCTACCGGCCTGCGGTGTCTGGGGACTCGGTGTTGAAGGAATTCAATCGTGTTGATCATCGTTTTCCAGAAAGGAAATTCAATTTGTTTTTGCACATATTTATAGAAATTATTTTTAAATACGAGATATGATTATCAACAGAAATACTCATCAGTCAGTTTCATTGATAAATTAAGTGTGCCAAAGGGGCATGCAGGTAAGGAATTCACTGTGCCATTACAGTTTTAGGTGTGTCCTCGGCACTAGATACACACAGTGTTTCAGTAATTCTGTATATATATAAACTTCATCATGACACATTACAATGATAGATACAAAACTTCATGACAGTGTTACAGACATTTTAACAATTGTCCTGACCTGCATTGTGTGAGAGTCCTTCTGTCCTCCGTTCTATTGAACTTCTTGTAAAGGTGAAGGTCGTATGCCCGTTGACCTATGTGAAGGTATGTAGCAGTTAGAAGGCGGAGTTCAGCGACAACATTAAGGCGAAGGTCAATGACATCATTAAACGAAGGTCCATGAATGGCTATAGTTGAAAGTCATTTGCAGTATGAATGTGAAGGTCATTGCAGCATGAAGGTGAAGGTCTGAAGGGACTATCAAGTCCAAGGAGTGAAGTCACTGCAACAGATAAGTCACAGATCATCTAGACAGCTGGAGGACCAAGCAGTTAGGTATTCCAAACGGTTTACCTGAACTATCACATCTCAACACAGAGCCAAGGCACTGCGGCCCACGTGGGAATGTACTCAACATAGCCACTGAACAACATTATGAATATTGCAAAAAGAAAATCAGAAGATGTATGTTGAATGTTCCTGATGACTACACATGCAGAGCTCCAGATAACTTTTTGAGCAATTGAGTTTTTACTCTAGGGTTTCTATTTTAATTTGGTTATTACATTTTACATTCCCATTCTTTCACAACATGTCAGGGTACATCTTCCCAATGCAAGAAAGTTAACTGACTTTAAAAGTTCAGTTTCCCTCCTTGCCGTACTAGGCTTGAATTCCTGGGCTCGACCGTAGCGCCATCAGTGGTTATTACGAGTTATGTCCCTTCTATGCCTCTCCCATGGACCAATCAGATTCCACCTCTCAGTATCACTTGCATTTGCTTAAAACAAAATGGCGGCGCCCAGTCAAGATGATCTGATCGATTATCAATATCTATATTGTGATCAAATGGGTCTTTCGTGAAGTGCATCAAATCATGTGAGCACCTTGATTAAAAACATGAAAAGATTTGGAAAATATCTGTTGACAACAAGTTGGCGGTACACCTGCTTTGGAAATCATGCAATCGACCGAGTCTGCATGACAGTTTACAAACCGGATTTCGATTTCATTGTGCGATTTTGATTGGACTATGCAAAGACTCGTTAGTCCAGCCAAATTCTAACTCCATAATACAAGCCTAGTTCGGCAAGGGTGGAAACTGGACTTTTATAGTCAGTTAATTCTCTCTTACAGAAGTACCACATTTCAGGACATTTTGAAAGAAAATAGCTGAGGACATAAATGATCATAGGACAGTTTCAGCTTGCAGTAAGTACAAAGGTCGAGTCAACTTCAAAATGTAAAAACTGCAAATATCTTAAAAGATCTTTCAGTGATCGGCCCATTGATCAGTGATGACTAACACTTGTAATAGCCATAGGTTCATTAAAAACTTCGGCAATCTCTACCATCACGTTTATTGTGTCGGCCATTTTGACGTCTTGTACTTGGTGTAAATATATTATGAGTATGACGCACTGTCATTGTGACTGACTTACTGAGGTAGTTCTTAACCGACCTTTCTCATCTAATGAGGAAATTATTTGAGTACATTTGTTGTACAGAAACTACAAAAGTTGTGTATTGAACATGTTGGGCATACAAAAGCTCATGTTACCTTTCGCTTTGAGGAACTATTTTATTCCACGATACAGCTGGTTGTTGTACGACTGTCAGTATAAACATGAAGTCCTACGTACAAAACATAATTGTGTACAGATCAAGGTCTACATACTTTGAGGTAAAAACAGTGATATAAAAATTGTTAGAATTGACTTTCATACCGTTTGGCTCTCACTCTGAAGGGTCATTCTTCAATGAACTCACAAAGATAAGGTCAATTGAATTCTCATGTGAATGAGTGAGTATGGTTTACGCCGCTTTTAGCAATATTCCAGCAACATCACAGCGGGGGACACCAGAAATGGGCTTCACACATTGTACCAATGTCGGGAATCGAACCCCAGGTCTTCGGCGTGAGGAGCGAACGCTTTAACCACTAGGCTACCCGACCGCCCCTAATTATCATATGAACAAAACCGACTGTGGCAGCCATATTTGAACCTCAGCTTTATCAGTCATTGATGTTTCAGTGCAAAGAAACGCACTTAGAGAGAATTTTAGACGACTGTCTAAATTGCAACGGTCTAATAAAGGCCAAAATGTAAGATTTCACAAAAAACAGACCATACCACTGAATACAAATATACTTAAATTTTCAAATCCAAAAAATAGCTAAATATATGGCCATTTGAACTTTCAGCATTCAGTACATGATCGATTTGCCAAGGTCAAATAAAAGTCAAAATCTAGATTATTACTAACATAAAGCCAGAAGAAATATGTTAAAAGACAATAGTTAGCAACACACAGGGCTCGATTTAGCTGTACATAACATGCACAAGTGCAACCTATTTTGAAACATGCAACTGGATATGAATGTCTATATGCTCCAAGTGTATCTGGACTAAACCATACTTGCCCACACAACACCCATCCTTAGATATATTCAATACCTCTAAGCTATTATTTACCAGAGCTCCATCCTTAGATATAGTCAATACCTCTAAGCTATTATTTACCAGAGCTCCATCCTTAGATATATTCAATACCTCTAAGCTATTATTTACCAGAGCTCCAGATCATTTTTTTTAGCAATTGAGGTTTCACTCCATGGTTTCTGTTTTAATTGGGTTTTTACATTTTTCATTGAGTAACCAATATTTTGTCACTCATCCATTCATCACTCCATTAGTGAACATTATAAGATTTTTAAAAAATGAAATAATGTTTTAGATGTATATAACTGTTCTAAATATAAGCTTGACTCAGAAAGTAAATTAGCTCATAATGTGTTTTGGAAATTAGCTCTGTTGTACGCATGCTGAAAAAGCTTCATTGGGTATTTACATGTGCTGTTTTTTATACATTCAGTTTTTCATTTAATGCATGTGTTTCTGTACACAAGTAATTGAAAGTAATTGGGTTTTGAATACTTTGGGGGAGTATTTTACGCAAACACACAGCTTTTCTGTAGCTCTGTTTACCATACCTCACCACTAATCCCTGTGTTACCTCATCACTAATCCCGGTGTTACCTCATCACTAATCCCTGTGTTACCTCATCACTAATCCCTGTGTTACCTCATCACTAATCCCTGTTACCTCATCACTAATCCCTGTGTTACCTCATCACTAATCCCTGTGTTACCTCATCACTAATCCCTGTGTTACCTCATCACTAATCCCTGTGTTACCTCATCACTAATCCCTGTGTTACGTGTAATTTGTCGCGCTTTCTTGGGCTTGATGTTATCAAACTGTGGGTACTTCAAGATGATGTACTGTAGCATCGTCTACCACTGAAGTCGCCAATCGTATCACGTCATGATACTTAGATTATCCAACATGCCCAACCAACAACAATAATTCTAAATATTTTTTACATTTTTATACTTATCCTGCATTACTCCCGCATGCACTGCTTACCTTGCGACAAGGAAACAGTAGTATAGGTAATGGTGATTCTGGACCACTTCCACTGGAGCCAGATTTATATACCTATACCGCTACTACAGATGGAATTTTTTATGTGTAAACGCTGATCAATTCAACGATCGTCATGACATTAAACTCAATTGTAATGAAAATATTCTCTATTATTTTTACTCATACATATACCCTTACTTTTAACAAAGTGATATTCAACATTTTTACTAAGTTCTTCGTTCATTTTACTAGGAGACCAGACTATATATACTCTTCTTGTTAATTGGAAAGAACCAATTGATGACAGTATTTGGTTGGTTTGACATCACTGATATAATATATACCTTGTGGTAATTCTCTCCATTTGATAATTTTGTCCCTGAGCATAAATGCTTCGATAGCTTTTTCGAGTTCTTCCTTTGTTGGTTTGTAATTTTCCATTATTATATTCTTATGTAAGCATTCCCTTAAATGTGATCAAGCAATCTATTTTTAATCTCCAACCAGTTCTTTTGGCACGGAATAATTGACGCGCTTGTTGTCTCCCCTGTTCTATGAACTATTTTTTCTCGTCTTCGCTAATACCACTGGTCTTACAAGAATTTGATCGAATCTCCTGCTTCATTACGTTGTATTTGGTGAGTTCTGACAGCACTAAACGAAACTCCTCCTCGGATATCTTACAATCAGCCATTGCTGTTGAGATATGTTCCTTAATGCTGTTCAACTTTGCTTTGGCGAGTATCCGAATATCCTCATGTTTTAATGCTTTCTTTTGCAGCCTACGAGAAATAAATTTAATCGCTATTCCTGCCAGTCCTGAGACTCCGGCGGCTATTTCAATGCCAAGTACGATAGGCTCCGCGATTATAGTTGATAATAAACCGACACCGGCTACACCGAGTCCCATGCCAGCTGTTACAAGCATGGTGTCAACTCCATCGAGAACATAAGCGTAGAAGGATTATGTATTGCACTCAAGTTCTGTTTTATATCATTGAACTCAGGAACCAAATTTAAACTAACATTTTTTACTGCCGGACGACTCAATAACATATGACCTGGGTTTTCTGGTAGGGGAGAGACTAACACACTTTTTCGTTTTGAAGGGATATAAGCCGCGAGAACAAAGTATTATCTTAGTTAATTGATGTCCCTTACCCATCATCACATATGGTGGGGTAATGACGATATTCAATAGCCACTAGATTTTTTCTTCGATCATAGTCCATTTATTATCATCATTGCGAGTAAGATTGTATGAAGTGTTTTTATTGAGTCCACTAACGTCTACATCTCTTAAATCTCCTAGATTACCTATGAATGCAACTTCTTTCCGCTTGTATACCTTATCTTGTAAGAGTAAAGCGTATAACTTGCCATCGATACCGGATTACCGAACCCTTCTGTGTCTCTGAGATCGGAAAGCGCAATTGTATTACATTGTCTGAGTGTTCCAGGGCCTGATGAATCAACCATTATTTATAATATCAACATCATGGGGAGTCAAATGAGGCACGTTTTTTTCACGTAGCCGTAGGCCTATATGCTGAATTTCAGGGCTACCCTCTGGTGGTTTTTTCTGACACACATTTTCCTAAGATCGGAAAAGTGAAGGTTGTGCGAGAATTGCGCTCACGCAGCACTGGATCTACCTCTGGCTATAAAATTACGCAGAGGTTGAGAATATTAAATTTCCTATTTGATGGTGTAAATTTAACTGCAAATATTCATACATTCAATGCCAAAAACAGCATGCCGTAAGAGAAGATATACTGATTTTTCTCTCTGACGTCAAAAGGCGACAGAGATGTTACACACGTACATGGAAAAGGGGGCATAACTCCGCTATGCTTAGCACTAGTTTATTGTAACTCAGGTCACTTGGTGAGAATTACTTGTGGGTAAGGACAATATATTATCGTGGCGTTTTTTTCCAAAAGGAACCAAACTATTCCAACACAAATATCGACATTGAAACTGTATACGTTTAGTTGTAACAGAGAAATGGATGGCCCTATCTAACCTATAACTGAGTCCTTAGATTCCAACATTCTCCTGAATGTGTAAGTGTAATTTGACTAATGTTGCACCATTATTAATGGAGCACTAGCCTTATCATCAAATGTAATGAAATACCAAAAACAATTACACCATTCTATTTGACGTCATGGCTGGTTTTATGTCTTTGAAACGTTGGAGAAAGACAACACTGGTATTTTGATTAATATATATCTCCTCTAATTTTCGTTCATGGTATGTGTAAAACGAAATTTGATGCTTTTTCGACACAACATGAAATGACTGCTTTCACCAAGTAAATAATGTCTTGAATATATAAACAATTAGATAGTTTATCGTGTATCTTAACTGGACAAGACACGCACCTGTTTGGCATCAATTTACGTCATGAAATTCCCAAAAGAATATTTCAAAACAACCAAAATTATATTCAATATTGGACATATTGTTCATTATTATGTTATTATTTCTCTTCATCTTGTCTCAGAATTACACAATAACAGATGCGAATAAAGCTCTGTTGGTATAGAATTATCAGGATAATCTTATAAGGTTGAACCAACGGCATGGGTTTTATTTTTTTAAGTTTTACAATCGCTGGAGAAATAAAGTAAACTGTGTAAATATCCTGTGATCACAATATTGAAAAAAGAATGAACCCATTGATTATATAATGCAAAATTCGTAAATTGTTTGTGACTAACGAGCAACCTGGCGAATTGTTAGATATCACAGTTCTGTGTATCATACGACATAAAAAAAATTATAAACATAAATTCCTAGACCAAGGCAATTCTTTCAGAAATGTGCGCATATATTTTAACGAAAAATATCATCCATTTTGTTAAAGTAATATACCGTATTCGACGTAATAAGTGCCCAGGGAGCTCTCAAATTAGCTCTTATAAGAATAGTATTTTGGTGAAGAAAAAAACGAGTTGAAAGATATATTTCGTGGTTTATGCTGACAGCCTGAAATGTTTATATACAACAGATATATTTTTTCAGAATTTAATTGCCCATAATTAAGGGTGCATATAACACACAAGTGCATATTATACATGAATAAATAAGTCTTATGTACATTGATCAATTGGAAGGGGTGCTAATTGGGATTGTTCACTAGCCAATATATTAACAAATATCGCCGTGGGCGCTTATTAGAGCAGGGCGCTTATTACGTCAAATACGGTATTTATTAAAATAAAACGAAACGTCTATTCAAGTACATAGGTTATATGAACTTATAGTATTGACTATTGCACATCCCGAGAAATATGTACATGCTGCAGTTACATTTAGACTTCATCTTGTAGCACTTGTCCAAAGGAAGAAACATCGTATTTGACACTATAAACCTATCAATTCTTATGTAAACAATGTTCAAACAAACAGGAGATTATCAAAGGTTCGTTCATACATATTTAGGCCTATATTTACGTATGATATCATTTTAAACACTGACAGATATCCAAAGTGAAATTAATTGCGTGAAAAATGTATAAAAGATATGCAAAATCTACATTATAACTGAAACTGTAAACAGCATGGTACAATGATCGTGTGCATTCTCATTAAAGGACCTTCACCTCAAAGAAATTACCAAATATGTAAAACAATGTTGACATATGACATCACTACCAGTGACTGACTTTTACAAAATGGCCTGTCAACAGTACGCGGGATTTTACGAGGGGACTTTCGTTGATTCAGGGATCGTATATACCTAAATGTGACATGTAAGTAATCAGAAACATTCTGACAATCTATGTACTGTTATTTGTTATTATATTTTTCGCTGAAACCAACGGAAATAGTCAGAAATTCCAATAAATACTGTTGTCGTTGTGCGTGATTTTGCGTCAGTCATGGCGTCACACAGGACCGTAACTTTGACAATTTCTGTTGAAAATATCAAATCATTGCAAAAGTCCCTAATTCTTCCCACGATTCTCTTCCAAAATTTTGAGCCAATATCTTGAATGAATAGACGAATGGATAGCTCAAAATAGGAGAAAATGCTACAATGTGTAAAATCTGTATTTTGCTTTGTTTACATTTCAAACAAGTGCAGTTTTTCAAGCACAGCGTTCGTTTTCACACCTAACTTATTTTACTTGTTTTCATCCAGCCTCTTTGTATTGGTGACAATGACCATTGGTCTGTTGATTCTAAAATGTATGAGGAATTCAAGGATGTGTGTATCGCAGCTAAGTTCGAAATATACGTGATGTTACAGGCGCCTCATAACCGATGTACCTGAAACGTGCTTTTGTAAACACTATCCAATATGGCGGAAGGTTCACTATGGCGTTCGTGTTTGCGTATTTTCCAAAACATTAAAGATTCTAGGGTTATCGGAGACGTTTTGGAATGATCATAGGTGATTTGAGAAAAGACAGATACCAGTGATCACTAATATGCTATTTTTGAAATTCATTTCTCCGAGTAAATATCCGAAATTTAGATTTCAAAACATGCTGTAAATAACACCATGAGTGGTGATTTAGTAATGTGTAAAATATGGCGACATTTACAATGTACCTAATTTTCAGAGGTCATTTTCAGTACTTTGGCTTGGCCTAGAATGCCAGTGGATGATATCACAGAACAGGGAATTTCCCACCTTATTCACAACTGTGAAGAGTATTTGTGTGGCTGATGTATTTTGAAGTTTATTCGACTTCAAAGTGAGGGTTGTAGAGGTTGTCCCTCTGGCATCCAGGGGGTTAAAGTCGCAATTTGCCGTGTTCGTGGTGATCCTAATGTCGCTTTCATGTTAGGTACGTAGGTGTTCTCCTAGTTGAAAAGTTTCCTGAGATGGTGTGAGCTGGACATGGCGATGTTATAACCCATGAATGTTGCTTGCAGTGCGATGTGCTAGAATATGCTGTGTTTAGGAGCGAGCCGATATGCTGATGCAATAATGATTTGCATCGCGGTTCGTTTGCGCTAAGTAAATGATTGTGATAGTCAGGTGCATATACAGAGTGACGAAGGCATGCCGGTTTGAATCCACAATCGATTGAAACATGGAAAATAATCATTTTTGACAGGTGAGATGTTAGCAATGCATAATAGCTTGGTGGGGATAGCGTATATTTTGAAGAGGTCCTTCTAGAATAATATAATAACAACTCACCATATTCCGCGATTCATTGTTCAGTTTGAGTTACACAACCACAGATAAGAATCAAATTCACTTAGTAAACATTGTCATGACTTATCCTTCGAGCGGAAGACCGTTTGTTGGCGACGTACTATTATCCTCACGCAATATTACAGTGGTGGCTTTCTGTCCTAGCTCCTGGCGTCCCGGTTGATGTGAGGTGACCAAATATGGCCCACGTGTGATTGCCTTCGTTATAGAAGGAATACACTGTTAATATAACCCTCCTCATTCTTCATAAACCTCTTATACTCGTAAGTTAGTGACGTCATGAGCAATGGATGAGGTTATTATACCTGTATTGTTAGCGATGCAGTGATATGACGTCATATGACTCCTGCTGGCCAATCAGCCCCGAGAAGCACTGAACTGCACAGGAAATATAGAAACCATACCTCACTCTTTGAACCCTTGTTGGTAAACACTTACATCAATTCACACTTACTTAATATCGATTTTAACATAAGATAATTAGTAAACTTATATATATATATATATATATATATATATATATATATATATATATATATATGTATCAGGTATAAATATATATATATTTTTGTATAAATATCAGGTTTTAAGGGATATATTTTATAGACCAAGATCAATGCGCACATTCAATCTTTCAGCCATAAGAATGTTTGCTGCACAAAACTATACGGGAGGGCTTGGGGCTAAAGCAAACAGATGCAGACAAGGCCCGTGTCCCCCATGAACCTCACCACACTTATCTCAAGGCCCCTTTTACGAACAACCTCACCACACGCATCTCAAGCAGTGCTCGAAACAGACAGCGGCCCGAAGACCCGAGGCCGACAGATTTGTTTTAAATTTCAGCAGTAACTTACGGCCTGCAGCTCATTTAAGTTATTATTTATTAAGCATTATTTAAGTAATGTATAAACATAACTTTCATATTTATTAACAGAAGGATTAGACCTTTCAAATGACACGTAGTCGCAAAGATTTTTAACAAGCTGATAATTTCGTGATAAATTTTTATTGCAAGAGCATATCTCCCTGCTTCAGCTAAAATGTTTGGTCCTACAGTTTTTACACTGGGACAACAGTTTTTTTAGATGTGCTGGCCCTTAGGCTCTCGGTTTACTCTGCTGAGGTTCAGACACTGATCCAGAGGTCTATGTCCGTCAACAACCTCACCGCATTTATCTCAAGGCCAATGGCACCCAAAAGAATCACCCTATTTATTTCAAGGCCCCACTAAACCCCCACCGCACTTATCTCAAGATCCGTGTCCACCAATAAGTTCATCACACGTATCTCAAGGCCCGTGTCCTCAAACAACCTCACTACGTGTATCTCAAGGCCAGTGTCCTCCAACTATCCCAAGGCCCATTGCACCTAACAACCTCACCACGTTTATCTCAAGGCCCATGTCCTCTAACTATCTCATCATATTAATCTCAAGGCTAATGGCATCCAACAACCTCACCATATTTATCTCAAGGCCAATTAATGACACACAACAACCTCACTACGTTTAAGGCCCGTGCCCACTAATAACCCTACCACACTTCTCTCAAGGCCAATGTCATCCAACAACCTCACCACAATTGTTTAGGCCCGTGTCCATTAACAATCCCGCCACACTACAACCTCACTACGCATATCTCAAGGCCCATGCCCTCCAACAACCCCACTACGTTTATCTCAAGGCCCATGTCCTCCAACAACCTCATCACGCCTTTCTCAAGGCCCGTGACACCCAACAACCTCATCACGTTTATCTCAAGGCCCGTGACACCCCAAAACCTCACCACGTTTATCTCAAGGCCCATGATACACAACAAACTCACCACGTTTATCTCAAGGCCCGTGACACCCAACAGCCTCACCACGTTTATCTCAAGGCCCGTGGCCTTCAACAACTTAAGCATGCTTAGGTCACCGTTGCCAGCTTGCATTGATAAATAGTAACTGTAACACCATACCCGTGATAACAAAGCTATGTGACTTCACAGATTTCAGTCCATGCAGTAAGTGATGTTTTCCACACTCGCCGAGAGGCAATTTACCAATGACGAGTTACCCTTTCCCACGCCCGTTCTTCATGTAGGTCACAGACACATACGAACAGTGAAGATATATGATGTGTACGGTCGACACTGGAGATAACAGGAAAGAAGAGAAACAGTTTAACAAGGAAATAAATCTGTATAATGTATTTGGACGCCCGTACCCCGTCAGCGGTGGTGGATCAGTATATAGTAGAATATAGTATGGTGTGTGGAAACTAGTTCCCTTTACCGAGATCGCGGGAGAAAAACACAAGCTCAACTCTCTGGCATGCTACCGCTGGCTTGATTATCGATGCCTGTAGCTGGTAGGTTAGTCGCTGTTCGGAGCTTTCTTAAAGGACGCGCCAACGTTAAAAAAACATATTTCGTATGAATAAGACCTACAATAAAGACTACCGTGGTACGCACCTGCTCTCATCTCCAGGAGCTGTCCGTTTGACTGCTGACGTGTTATTTTGGTATCAAATCATACCGTAAGGTGAACATTGAAGTGTGTATATGTTTTTCCCCTCAAATTTGTTCTAATCAGCACAGCGTGATGACCTTCATGCGCTTACGAAGGTCACTTATCGATGTGCTCGTTAACTATTCTGATTCACCAAGTGAATCGGTTCCCCAGCATCACCATGGAAACACGACGCTACTGTTGCACTAGGTCACAGAATCATCCTAGGATCTAGGTAATCCCGTTTATATATGATAAATGACGCGTCAATGTCCGACTGACACCCCAAGACAGGCCAGTAGGAACAGGACGGGGCTTGGCCCGTTTTTATTAGTATTTCATATGAGCTCCTCTTGGAATTTTTGCAGATGAGCTATTTGTAGACAGACCATGCCCCATTACACAAAACAACCCTAGCTAAGGTTAACCCACTAAGGTAATAATTAGGGTTACTTAAGCCCCATTCACATGGACAAAATCTACTCATGTAAGCAAATTTACTCATGGAGTATATTGACTCATGTAAGCAAAAGTATATTTACATTGCGTTCACATGAAGTTTATGCAAGGCAGAAGTGAACATCATTTCATAAATAAATTGTGGACTTTTATCATTTGAGGCCATGTCGCTGTCGAAGATAGTCAACCAGAGGCGAAAGAGAGACTTTCCATACTTTCTTGGTATGGGATTAGTCTGAGGACTATGCCAGGGGAGAGAACTGTGGAAGAGAGAACGTTCTCAACACTGGTGGAACAATGTCGTCAAGCGATCATTTGATGATAAACTGTGGATCGATAACTTTCGCATGACACGCGAAACATTTTATGTTCTTTGCAAGGAACCACTGCCGTATTTTCCTGCACAGGAAATGTATGTGAGGGAACCATTGGAGCTGGATCACAAGGTGGCCATAACAATTTACTGGCTTGCCTCCTCTGCGGAGTTTAGAACAATAGAGAATCTGTTCACATGACCAGAAATACTCCAGGAGCATTTATACTTATGAGTAAATATACTTTTACTAGACCTCATCAGGTCTAGCAAATATACATTTACTCATGTCTATTTACTCCTGGAGTATGTTTACTCACGTAAGCAAATGCGTTCACATGCCACCATAAGTAAATTTACGTATGTAAGTATATATACTCACGTAAGTAAAAGTGTCCATGTGAATGGGGCTTTAGCGTACTACGAAACATGTACTATCAATCTTCCATAGCTGTCAACCCAAAATGTATTCAGTGAGTAGGATGTACATTAGCAAGGATTCAGGGCAAACATGCAGTACAATTTATAATCCTTTTGCTCAGTATTGTTGAGCCCTCTGGTCGAAAGTATTCTTGTAAGTTGTCTTAACAGAGAGACGTACGTAGACATAATGCCAAACGCACTGCGGCATTTGCAATGAGAAACAAGGCAATCCCGCGTGAGGTGACAGTGGCATTGCGTGAGAGAGTGAGTTTTGTTGAAACACCGAGAGTCCGACGACATTCACTGGCACTAACACATGTGTAAGTCACTTCATTTATGAAATATTGGATACCGTTTTCATTGGGTTAAACATGTTCACCTCCAAAACAATGTATGTGGCTTCACGGGTTTTATAAAAAAAATGATATAGTTTAATTCTAAGGTTTTGCCCAAAGAATTGTTTTCTGTGCTACCTGTCATTAATTGGTATGTTTTGTCAACACACATGCCTCTGAAATTATGCGCAGATGAAACATTAGCGTCCTCATATGTTTCTTGAGTTACGTGTCCTTTAATGGCAAGAGGTGTGTTCGCGTCGAGAGGGAAACTTTACAACAATCAAACGAAACTTATTGTTATGAAGAATATAGAAGTGGTTGATTAACCATCAGTGATACTTTCAACTTGGAAATTATATCGATCGACGTATACAGAGCGAGAATTGGACTGTTTTCTCAACCAAAAGGTACGAAGCAAATATCTCTTGACAAACATGGCATGTACTCGCATACAGTATCGGGATCAGATACACCCCCCAGACTATTGATCTGCTGTGTGTTGCTTAACCTACATGTTTATCTGGCCTATACTCTTGTGGATATATTAAAAGATGCAAATTTCCATTCATACCTACCAAAAGATCACATTTGTGAATTTGTGTATACAAATGACGTCACGACATGATGTGATTTTTTTGTCATGTCCCGCCCGTGACGCAAGAGTGATTCATTCGTGCCTACAAGATGGGGACCCCGTGCCTACAAGATGGGGACCCGGTGCCTACAAGATGGGGACCCGGTGCCTACAAGATGGGGACCCGGTGCCTACAAGATAGGGACCCGGTGCCTACAAGATGGGGACCCCGTGCCTACAAGATAGGGACCCGGTGCCTACAAGATGGGGACCCGGTGCCTACAAGATGGGGACCCGGTGCCTACAAGATGGGGACCCGGTGCCTACAAGATGGGGACCCGGTGCCTACAAGATGGGGACCCCGTGCCTACAAGATGGGGACCCGGTGCCTGCAAGATGGGGACCCGGTGCCTACAAGATGGGGACCCGGTGCCTACAAGATGGGGACCCCGTGCCTACAAGATGGGGACCCCGTGCCTACAAGATGGGGACCCGGTGCCTACAAGATGGGGACCCCGTGCCTACAAGATGTTGTGCATGCAGATGCGGGTTAGTTAACTACCAAGATGTTGTGCATGCAGATGTCGGTTAGTTAACTACCAAGATGTTGTGCATGCAGATGCGGGTTAGTTAACTACC